CAGGGAGTTGAAAGGATTTTCCCCTTTTTTCTTTTTTCCCCCTTCTGCTCTCCCCAAGAAGGATTGAGCACTGGGGTGCCCCCAGGGCTCCCCCTCAGGGCCAGAGACCCAGAACAGGGCCCCCAATCCCGGGAGCCCCTGGACACCCAATCCCAGACCCCATTCCAGGCCCTCACTCCCAAACACCCATTCCAGACCCTCACTCCCAACACCGGCTCCAGGCCCTTGATCCCAAACACCCATTCCAGGCCCTTGATCCCAAACACCCATTCCAGGCCCTCATTCCCAACACCAGCTCCAGGCCTTTGCTTCCAAACACCCACTCCAGGGCCTCGGTCCAGGCCCTCACTCCAAACACCAGCTCCAGGCCCAAGGGCACTGGACAGGGCTGGCACTGGCCCTGGCTGGGTGGCCACAAACCAGTTGGGCCACTGCAATCGTGACAGACCTCTCTGGTGATAAAGGCACTGACACCACACTCCACCAGCAGTGTCTGCCAGGGCCTGGCCGGGGTGTGACGCTGCCCATCCTCACCCCATCCCTCGGGATCCACAGCTCCGGCGGTCACAGCTGTCAGTGTGAGTACCTGCTTTGTACCCCAAAACCCGGGTTGGAGGGACGGGGAACAGGGATGGGGGATGTGGTGGTGGAGCCCTCATGGGGATGGTTACACCCCATGGGATGTGGGAGAGGGTTACACTCTGTGGATGTGGGAGATGGGGTGCTGTGGCTTCTTGGCTTGGTCACCTCTGTCCTGAGGCCACCAGGATCCCATTGTTGGGCTGCCACATCCCATCCACTGCTATTCGCTTCTGGCTGGAAACCCTTCCCACCTATCCCCCTAAAACAGGGGAAATCTGGAAGCCCTTCACAGCCTGTCCCCCAAAAAAGGGAGGATCTGGAAACCCTTCACAGCCAATCTCCAAAAAAGGGAGAAACCTGGAAGCCTTTCATGACCCATCTCCAGAAAAGAGGAGAAACTGGAAATCCTTCATAACCGATCCCAAGAAAAAGGGGGAAACCTGGAAACCCATTCCCCAAAATGGGGAAAATGTGGAATCTCTTTGCAACCCACCTCAGAAAAGAGGAGTAAACCTGGAATTAAGAGATGTGCCCTGCAGAGATGGGGTGGGACCACTCCTTGCCCCCTCACAACTGGTTCCAGGGTGAATCCTGATCCCATCCTGGCACCAGCCTTGGGGTGGGTGGGCACATCTCAGCACTGATTGAGCTCGCTTGTCTTCATCCCTTCTCTTGCAATGATGGTGATGATGATGATGGTGACGATGATGATGATGATGGTGATGATGATGATATGATGACGATGACGAAGCTATTCTGGATTTTCCCGTTCCTGGGGGATTGTGCAGATTGTCCCTGAGTGGGAACTGGTCCTGCCAATGCTGGGCAGGATGGGGCAGTTGCCAGGGATGGGGCAAGAGCTGCCAAGTCACTGCAGGGTGACCTCCCCAAATCCTGTAGGGACGAGCTCTGAACTCCAAAGCCCTCTGATAGGGATGGTGGGTCCTGGACATGACCGAGGGATGCCCTGGGGTGCTGGATGCCAGTGTGGTCACCCCTCACTTGGGGACCCAAGGCCATCACCCCCTTTGGTGACAGACTTGAATCTGAGGGCAGCAGGAAGAGCAAAGACCAGATCCAGGAGCACAAAGGCCCTTTTTCCACCCATGCACGTGTAGGGTGGTGGAGCAGGGATGGGGCTGAGCCCTCCTGTTGCAGCTGGGGCACCTGCTCACCCCCCCCAGACACCCCCCAGCCCCTGGGCACCCACTCAGCCAATGTGACCAGGGGAAGGTGGAAAGGCCGGTGACACCGCGGTGGCTCTGCAGTTTCTGGGCTGAGCTCAGGGACACGGGAATATTGCTGCCATCAAGGCCATAAAACCATGGAGATACAGCGGGAGGGAGGGAGGGCTGCGGGAGGATGAAGAGGAGCCGACGGGACGTGGCCAGGGCGCCCCGGGGAGCAGGAGGCTGTGTGAGCTCCGGCTGCAGTAGATGACAGGCAGCCCATGAGCTGTCCCGAGGGACGAGGAGGAGGCCGGTGGCAACAGGTGGGTGCCACCGCCCAGGGACGGCTGTCGTCACCCAGTGCATGGGGCCAAGCCGGGCTGGGGGCCGGCGGTGGCGCGGAGCCGAGGGGCCGGCGCGGGGGCCCGTGGGGACAATGACCCCGTTGAGGCCGCTGGCGCAGATGGAGACAAACGTCCCCGTTGTTCCCGGCGCGGGCTGAATGGCTCCTCTGTGCCCTGGCAGTGGGTGGGGAGCCGGGCGGCTCGGGGTGGCCGCGGGCACCCAGGGCCGGCCCCGGGGAGCCGGGCAGTGCCCGGCCGCAGCCCCGCGTCCCTTCGCCAGCCGCTCCCTCTCCGTTCCCTCTCCCCCTTCCCAGGCCGGCGAGCCAAGGCCGGGATTCAGGCGATGCCATAAGCACCGCGGTGGAGTGGGGAGGCTTTGGGAAAGCCAGCGTTTGCCGGGAGCTGCCCTGGAAGAGCTTATTCCATGTCGGAGCAGCATCGGCACCCCCGCCCCGTGCCGCCCGCTCCCCCGGCACCCCGGCCAGTCCAGGACAGGACAGGGACAGCCCAGCGCCAGCGGTGCAGGCAGAGGAAAAGGTGACGGATACTGAGGGCACAACGGGATGCTTGGGAGCTTGTGGGGTGCTTGAAGGGTGGCAGGATGGTGGAGGGGACAGCAGGATGCTTGGGGGGCAGAGGGATGCTTGGGGAACAGCAGGATGGCTGGGGAGCAGTGGGATGCTTGACAGGGTATTGGGATATTTGGAGGTTTTGGGATGCTGGGGGGGGGGGCTTGGGATGCTTGGGAAGCAGCTCTATGGGGCAGGGAGCCTGGGGATGTGGGGCTGGATGTTTGCACCCATAAGAGTGTGCAAGGGGAACAGAGGGGTAGGAAGCACTGTACCTGTGTGGAATGGGGCCTGCCAAAACCGGAGCATACATGGATTTATGGGATCAGGAGGAGCAAACAGCAGGTGGATACGCCTTGTGTATGGCAGATATAGGGGTTTGGCCCTAAAAAGAGTGGATCCAATAGGGAAAACCCAAAAGCAAGCTCTGGTTTGCCCCAGGGGAGCTGGGAAGTTGCTGGGACATTGAGATGGGGATGCAGAGCTGTGAGGCCCGGCCTGTCCCAGGGGTCACTGGTGAGGAAATGGTCAGTGCAGCCGTGTCCTCTGGCTGGGAATTTCAGCCACTGGCGCCATGGCCACCCTGCGCCTGCGGGAGCCCCAGGAACACGCCTGGTGCACCATGTTCCCCTCAAAGAGTTATTCCCTCAGCAGCTTATTAATAATTAAGCTGCTCATTGAATGCAAAGTAAATAGAGAGGTTGGGCTGAAAAGTGTTTGCCAGAACCACCCCTGGGAGCCAGGAAGGGTGGAGGGAGGCATCCCCCTGGCATTCCAGAGCTCTGGGATGGGGTGCTGTGTGGGCCTGGGGGGCTGGTGGGGTCCCATTGGGATCTGTCAGGATCCATTGGACCCCATCTGGACTGATTGGGATCCATTGGGACCCATCAAGTGTTCATGGTTCAGTCTCACTTGCTTCCATGGGATCAGTGCCAGCACTGGTGATCCTTGGGGTGCAGCTCTGCTCCCATCCGGCAGTACCCACAAAACTGGGTGTCCTCCCCGGCTCTCTCCAGTGGCTTTTCCAGGTGGTGCCACGCGGTGGGATCACAGCCACGGTGTAAAACCAAACTCCAGCTGCTCCCAGGCACTCGGAGCCCTTTGGCACTGACACCCACGCAGTGATCTTGGGGTACGGCCAGAGCCATCTGCTCCCCTAGCAGTGACACCACAAATTCCCTGGAAAACCACGCGGGAAGAAGCTGGATGCACCATCCGTGCCTGATCCAGTGGTCCCTGCTGCAGGGCAAGGTGGGGGGGAGGCTTGGATGAGCTTTTGGGGTGCCCCCGGTGCCCTCCTCCCGGCTCCCCCCCCTTCCGCGGCGCTGTGCCCAGTGCCCGGCCGCAGCCCGGGGCTCCGGTTGCGTTTTCCATTCATTATTCATTGAGCTGGAAATCTCGGCAGCACGAGGAGATCCGACCCGGGGGGGCCGGGCAGGGGAGCGGCGGGAGCAGCGGCACCCCGGGATCGCCGGGCTGCGGGTAACGCTGGGGGGACCGGGGGGGCTCCGCCGCGGGGGGCTCGGGGGGTGGAATGTATCGGGGTGCGATCCGCGGCTCTTCCCAGCGGGATTTCATCCCGCCGGATTATCCGCTGGAGGTTTGAGGTGCTGAGGGGGTGATGTGTGGCGGGGAGGGGGGTGGGTGAGTTGTTTCGGGGGTGTTATTCGGTGGGAGCGCGGCAGCCTCGGCTGATGGATTCGGGAGCGATGCGGAGCCGCGGGAGCAGCGGGAACAGCCGGAGCTCGGTCCGGAGATGCCGCTCCCGCCGCTAACTGGGGGTGCGGGGCCGGGGGGGCTCTGCCCCCAGCTCGGGGCGCTCCCGGGCGGGGGGCTCAGCCCGCAGCCCCCCACAGCGAGGGCCGCGGTCACGGGTGGCGTGTCCCCGTGTCCTACCGCAGGGACGGCCCTGCTGCAATGCGGTGTCACAGCTGACCGTGACCCTTCGCGTCCCGCCTGCGGCGGAGGGAGCGGGGCGGGGGAGTGCTGGGGGGGGGGGGGGGGGCTGTGTGTGTGTGTGTGTGTGTGTACGAACATGCATTGGTGTGTGTATGAACATGCACTGGTGTGTGTGTGCACGTGTGTGTGTATGAACATGAATTGGGGTGTGTATGAACATACACTGGGGTGTTTGTGCACGTGTGTGTGTATGAACATGAATTGGGGTGTGTATGAACATGCACTGGTGTGTGTGTGCACGTGTGTGTGTATGAACATGAATTGGGGTGTGTATGAACATGCACTGGTGTGTGTGTGCACGTGTGTGTGTATGAACATACACTGGGGTGTGTATGAACATGCATTGGGGTTTGTATGAACACGCACTGATGTGTGTGTACACGTGTGTGTGTATGAACACGCACTGCGGTGTGCATGTCCTCGTGCACACATGAGCACGCATGAGGGCTGTGGCGTATGTGTGCCCTTGCGTGTGCAGCAGTGTGCACATGTGTGTGTGTCTGTGTCCTTGGGGACATTCATGGGTTCATGTGTGTGTGTCTGTGTGCATATCTGGATGCATGAACGTGCAAAGGTGTGTGCCCCTGTGTGTGCATGCACATGCATGAACATGCAGAGATGTGTCCTGTGGCCGTTTGGCCATGCATGTGCCTGCGTGTGCCTGCACACACATGAACATGCCCAGATGTGTGCCCCGTGTGTGCCCCTGGGTGTATATGTGTGACCTTGTCTGTGCCCTTGGAGGGGATTCATGAGTGCATCCGTGTGTCTGTGTGTGCATCTGTGTGTGCCTGCACACACATGAACATGTGCAGATGTGTGTGTGCCCCTATGTGTGCACATGTGAGCATGGCTGTGCCCTTGGAGGGGATTCATGAGTGCACCGTGTGCATGTGTGTGTATCTCTGTGTGCCATGTACACACACAAACATGCACAGATATGTACCCCTGTGTGTGCCTGCACACACACATGAACATGCACAGGTGTGTGTCCCATGTGTGCCTGTGTGTCCATGCACACACATGAACATGCACAGGTGTGTGTCCCATGTGTGCCTGTGTGTCCATGCACACACATGAACATGCACAGGTGTGTGTCCCATGTGTGCCTGTGTGTCCATGCACACACATGAACATGCACAGGTGTGTGTCCCATGTGTGCCTGTGTGTCCATGCACACACATGAACATGCACAGGTGTGTGTCCCATGTGTGCCTGTGTGTCCATGCACACACATGAACATGCACAGGTGTGTGTCCCATGTGTGCCTGTGTGTCCATGCACACACATGAACATGCACAGGTGTGTGTTCTGATGTGTGTCCCCCTGTGTGTCCATGCACACACATGAACATGCACAGGTGTGTGTTCTGATGTGTGTCCTCCTGTGTGTCCATGCACACACATGAACATGCACAGGTGTGTGTTCTGATGTGTGTCCCCCTGTGTGTCCATGCACACACATGAACATGCACAGGTGTGTGTTCTGGTGTGTGTCCCCCTGTGTGTCCATGCACACACCTGAACATGCTCAGGGGTGTGTGTATGTCCCTGTGTATGCACACATGTGTCCCTGTGTGTCCATGCACACACGTGGGTGGATGTCTGTGCAGGTGTGTGCACGTGCCTGCTCTGTGTGTGTGTGTGTGTGTTTGGGGGTGCCATCCTGCCCCACACCCCTCTGTCCCCAGCTCCGTGTCCCCAGCTCCCCCCAGGGCCAGCCCAGGTGTGGTGCCATGGCCAGAGGGGCCCCTGTTGGTGCCAGAGAGGCTGGAGAGACCACACAGCTGCTCTGGGTGGGTACGGCAGCACCCAAAACATCCCAAGCTGGTGCAGCTCCTGCTCCATCCTGGATATTTTCCTGGGAGAATGGATCCCAGTGCCCTTGGGAAGCTCCTGCCGGTGCTGGTGGTGTCCTGGCCGAGGATCCCCACTCTGCCCCTGGGCTGCCACGGCCCAGCTCCCCCTTCCCCCAGTCCCAGCCCTGCGGCCTCTCCCACTGCTCCAGCATCGGGCCTGGGAGTTACTCAGGGTTTTCCTAGGGCGGGCAAAGGTCAGCTAGGCAGGCAGAGCTGCTGGGCCTGGGCCATGGATCTGCTGTGCCAGTGGCTGGGACACACCTGGCACCAGTGAGATGCTTTTCCGGGAGCTGTTGTGCCCACAAGACGCACACGTGCCTCTTCACACTCTTCCCAGTCCCCAACGTCGCTCCTTTCTGGCTGCAGGTGACCAGGATGCTGTGCCATGGGAAGCCCTGGAGGTCCATGTGCAAGGGGCTGGTCCTGGGGACCCTCCTGACCAGCTTCATGTTGCTGCTCTACTCCTACGCCGGCCCCCCGCTGCAAGTCAGCGTGACTGAGTGAGTCCGGGGTCCCTGCGTGTCCCCCCACAGCTCCGGAACCCCCAGCTGGACACAGTCCTGGGGTTTTCCAGGCTCTGGTGGCTTCACACCAAGATGTCCCCTTCCCTCTGGAGGCTGCGCCCTGTCCCAAGGGTTGGGGGGGAGGTGGATCCCAACTCTGCGGGGGTCTGGGGATGCTCATCCCGAGGGCACTCACTGCTCCTGCATGAAAAGAGAAGGGAAGAGGGAAGAGGAGATGGAAGGGGGAAGAAAAGGGGTGTGACTCCTGTCATCAAATTTATCTCAAGGTTATAAACAAGATCCACGTGCCTCATAAACCTGCTGCCGACCGGTGCTGTCGTGCTGTCACATGGGATCGTTATCAAGATCATCTTGAGGAGTTCATTAAGGGCGTCCAAAGTCACTCGAGACTGTGGTCTCTGTTCCCTGTCCTGGGCAGCTCAGATAACACCCCTCATGGCTTCCCAAGCTCCCCAAGGGCCTGTGAACTCATCTGTGGGGCCAGGATCTGGAATTGTTTCCCTCTTTGCTGGGGGCTGGGTCCTCCATGGATCCCACAAGGGGTTCATGATTCCTACAAGGGCTTGAGAGCTCCCAGACCTCTTCCTTGAGAGTTCCCAGACCTCCTCCATGGATCCCATAAGGCCTTGAGAGCTCTCAGACGCCATAAGAATGTTATCAGCTCCTCTCCATGGAATTACAGCCCTGGAAAGCTCCCCTTGATCCACTTCTTGGCACCAGGACCACCATGGCCGTGCCTGTGGAGAGGGGTGTGGACACCCTGCTCAGGGTGCTCTGGTGCTGGTGAGGGCTGACCACAACAACATATCCTCAGTGGCTCGAGTTGTCCAGGGGTGAATGAGAGTGGTTTGGTGGCTCGGAGGTGCGTCTGATATCAAGCATTTCTTTCCCTGCCTTTTTCCCCCCCTTCTTCTCTCTCTCCTTCTTTCCTCCCCTTTTCCCCCCTTTCCTGTCACGTGGGTGCCCTGATCCCACTGGGCACATGGCTGGGGGTGAAGGGGCTCTGCCCGAAGCTGGGCTTGTCTCCAATGGGGAGCCTGGGGTGTAGGGGTGAGCACCCCTCTCCAGCAGCTGTTCCCAGGTCCAACACCCCTCCCCAGGTCCAGCACCCATATCCATCTCCAGCACCTGTTCCCAGGTCCAGCACCCATTCCCAGGTCCAGCACCCATTCCCAGGTCCAGTACCCATTCCTATTTCCAGCACCCATTCCCAGACCCAGCTCCTCCAGGACAGAATATGCCAGACCCTTCACAGCAGTGGGGCCGCACTGGCCGAGCCGCCCTTACCTCACCACAGTCCTGTCTCTTCTCCCCCCAGGATCCCTGTCCCCTCCTCTTGCTCCTCCCGCCTGTCCCCTGCCAGGGCTCCAGCGGTGTCCAACGGCACAGGGAGCCCCTCAGGAAGGAGCTGCCGGCCCAAGCTCAACGTCATGTTCATGAAGACCCACAAGACCGCCAGCAGCACCATCCTCAACATCCTCTTCCGCTTCGGGGAGAAGCATCACTTGAAATTCGCCTTCCCCAACGGCCGCAACGACTTCTACTACCCGTCGTTCTTCGAGCGCAGCCAAGTGCAGCACTACCAGCCCGGCCGCTGCTTCAACATCATCTGCAACCACATGCGCTTCCACTACGAGGAGGTGCGTGAGCTGCTGCCGCCCGACGCCACCTTCGTGACGGTGCTGCGGGACCCCGCCCACCTCTTCGAGTCCTCCTTCCACTACTTCGGGCCCGTCATCCCCCTCACCTGGAAGATAACGGGGGAGGATAAGCTGGCCGAGTTCCTGCGGGACCCCCGGCACTACTACGACCCCAACGGGTTCAACGCTCACTACCTCCAAAACCTCCTCTTCTTTGACTTCGGCTACGACAACACCATGGACGCGGGCAGCCCGCTGGTGGAGGAGCACATCCGCGAGATCGACCGCCGCTTCCACCTCGTCATGTTACTCGAGTACTTCGATGAGTCGCTGGTGCTGCTGAAGGACCTGCTGTGCTGGCAGCTGGAGGATGTCCTCTACTTCAAGCTCAACGCCCGCAAGGGCTCCACCGTGTCCCGGCTGACCCCCGAGCTGTACGAGCAGGCGACTGCCTGGAACCTCATCGACGCCAAGCTCTACCGCTACTTCAATGCCACCTTCTGGCGCAAGGTGGAGGCCTACGGGAGGGAGAGGATGGCCAAGGACGTGGCCGAGCTGCAGAGGGAGAATGAGAAGATGACGAGCATCTGCATCGATGGGGGGCACGCCGTGGACGCCAGCGCCATCCAAGAGTCCTCCATGCAGCCCTGGCAGCCCCTGGGGGAGAAGACCATCCTGGGGTACAACTTGAAGAAGAAGATCAACAAGAAGCACCAGAAGCTGTGCCGCAAGATGCTGACGCCCGAAATCCAGTACCTGACTGACCTGGGGGCCAACCTCTGGATCACCAAGCTATGGAGTTACGTGCGGGACTTCCTCAAGTGGTAGGGGCTGGTGGGTGCCGCGCTCCCCCCGGGGAAGAACCAGGTGCTTTTGTTTTTCTTACTCGTGGTTCTTATGGTTTGGAACTGGCTGGAGGATTCAGTGCCCAGGAACTTTCGGTGGGACCCTCCACCACCTTTCTGCAGAGCCCCAGCTTGGGCTGGAGACGAGACTCTGCCTCCACCCACAGGGTCAAGGATTGAGGGTTCAGGGACAGTGTTTTCCTGCAGGATCCTTCTTCCTTCCCCACGGAAAGACTGGAGGAGGTATTTGTGAAGGACGTGGCCCTGTCACAGCAGGAGCAGGACATCCATCCATCCCCACCTTGCTGGGGGCAGCCCAGTGTGAGCAGGGATGTGCTAGGACAGCAGTGGCAGAGGGTCCCCCTTGCCCAGGGTGGGTAGAACTGCCCGCAGGGAACCCCACCCTCCAGGGGCTCCTCAAATTACCCCTTTGAGTCCTGGTTTTGGGGTGCTGGAGTGTTGGAGCCTGCTGCCCATGGGTGTGATGAGTGCAGCACATTCTCAACCCACCCACAGCCATCACACCATGGCAGGCTATGACCCAGAGCCACCCAGAGTCCTTTGGAGACTGGAAAACCCATCCCAAAAGCCCTGGCATTTATCAACAGGTCCCTGTGGGCAAAGGGCACCCCCTCCCCGACCCCCATCATCCCAGTTAGAGGGCCCCGTGGCCCTGGTTCCCACAGGGGACATCCCAGAAGGCTGATGGGGTCTGGTGAGAACTGGTGTGGGGAGGAGATAGGGAGCGGGGTGTGGTGGGCACTGTCCCTGTGATGCCATCCCGGACATGGTGGGGACACCAAGGCCAGGGTGTGTCCCCACCCTGCCTTGGGGACAGACCTCCTGTGTCCCAGCTGGGCTGGATGACCCCGGTGACACTGTATCCTGCTGAGAGTGGCCCTGGCTGGGCACGGAGGTGGCACCAGTGGCTGAGCCTCCCCTGTAGAGAAGGGACCCCCCTGGCTTCCTACCTGTGTTTGGCTCCTTCTGTAAAGACCAGGAATAAAAAAACAATTCTACTTTTGTAAGATAATTGTGTATTTGGCAATTTTTAATGTAGGGATTGGCCAGCCGGTCTCCAGCCACCTCCTTCTCCAGGATGGGATGGATGGGGTGGGGATGCCCCAGTGTGAGGCCACAGCGTGTGGCCACAGCAGGATGCTCTGCCAGTCCCTGCTCCTCCTGAGGGGTCGATCCCAGCTCCCATCAGCCCTGGGGGTGGGGAGACCTGTGTCTCCTGGGCAGTGCTGAGGCATAAGACCCCCAGAGCAAGGGGGGCACCTGGGTCTGTCCCTGCTGTCCCTGCCGGGTGCTGGGGACATTCCCGTCGTGTGCAGGTGGCACCAGGAAGGTCTGCTGGCTTCACAGGTCACTCCAGCCACCGTATTCCAGCTCTGCTGCTGGTGTGTGCACCCTGTTTCAGGGGTGGCCATGGAGGGGCATCAGCCACCACTGCTGCCACCAACTCACCTGTGTGTGACACTGCCCACAGACACTGGGACGGCACCGAGGACACCTCCCAGAGGTCCACAGGTGTCTCCCATGATATGCTGAGGTCTCCTGCTGGCACCAGGGACCAAATCCCACCTTGGCCACTGGTTGCCTCTGCAGATGTGGGATGGAAAATCCCCGTCCCAGGCAGGTTGGCTGCAGAGCCCACCTGGGGTGATGTCCCCATGGACATCATGGACACAGTCCCTGTCCCTCTGCACCCAGGCCACCAGCTCAGCCCACACAGAGGGGCTGTGGTGGGGTGGGGTGTTGGGGCTGTGGTAGGGTATTGGGGACACCTGAGACAGGCAGGACACAGGGACATGTGTCTGTCCTGGTTGGGTCCAAACTGCTGCTCCCAGGTGGGCTCCCTGTCCTGCAGAGCTGAGAGCAGGATCATGATGGGACAAGGATGGGGCACTGGGGACTGGGACTCTGTGGTGGGACTGGGATTATCCATGGGATCATGACAATGGGATCAAAACTGTGGTGACGCTGGGACCTCATGTAGGACCATGGAGATGGGACCAGGAACATCCATGGAACCAAGGCTGAGTGATAAGACCAGACCATGTGGTGAACTGGGACCAGGGCAAACTGGTTGAACCAGCACCACGTCCAGGACTAAACTACATGGTGGGACCAGCACCATGCACAGGACCAGGACTAACTGGGGATGGGACAACATGGTGGGATCTGAACCTTGCTGAGGACCAGGACCACAACTACATGGTGGAACCTGCACTACACGTGGGAACGGGACTGATTGGTGGATGTGGGACCAGGACTAACTGGTGGATATGGGGCCAGAACTAACTGGTGGATATGGGGCCATGCTCAGGACCACCTGCAGGATCAGTCTGAGTGGTGAGAGTGGGACTGTGGGACAGAACAGGAACTGGGCAGTGGGCACAGACCCCTGTGGTGGGACTGGGAAGGTGTGAGGGGTAGGAGCAGCCCCAGGTGTAGGGCTGCTGCTGACTGCAGAGAGGGTCAACAAAGCCCCCAAACCCATCAGTGCCAGCTGGGGCCCATTGGCACCCAGCCCTGGTCCTTAAAGACCCCCAGGTGGTGGGGTGGGGGTTGCTGCTCGCTGGGGATGGAGCTGTGCTGGTTGGTGCTGCTGTGTGGGGCTGTGCTGGGGGTGGCAGGTGAGTGGGGCTGGGAACCCCCTCGGTCCCCCCACTGGTTGTGCTGGGAAGGTGGATGGTGGGTGCCCTTGGCTTTGCCCTGTGCTGGTCACCTGGACCTGCTGGTGCAGGTTGTCTTGGTGGAGAGGAGCCTTCCTGAAATGACCCCAAGCTTTGGGGATGTGTGGCTGGGGCAAGGGGCCTGCTGGGAGCTCCCTCAGGTCCCAGCAGGTCTGGGAGGCTTGGGAAGGGTAGCAGAGGCTCCAGTGGGGTCTGTGGCTGCTGGCAGTGGTCTCCCCACCCCATGAGCAGCTCCCGGTCTGTCCCCAGCCCTGGTCAAGCGCTGGGAGTGCTCCTGGTCAAGCGCTGGGAGTGCTCCATCCTGCCTCGGGATGGAGGAGCCCCTGATGGGCTCCTGGGTGCTCTGCCCACCTTTGTGCTGCTGTCACCTGCCCCCCATGAGTCCTGGGGACACCTGAGGACCTGAGTGTCCCTGCTGTGTCTGGGACATGCTGCTGCTGGCTTAGCCCTCCCTTTGCTGCAGGGACCACTGTGGCTCCAGCTACCTCAGAGCCCCCCAGTCACATGGTGACAGCTCCGGTGGTGTCCTCAAACACGGGGACATGGGAGGTTCCTGCTCGCCCCAGCTCTGAGGAGCCCATCATGAACTTCACCCTGAGGCTCCTGGATGGTGAGTGCTTTGGGGGTCTTGGGGGACAACCTTTGGGGGTAAACCATGGGATGGGTCCAGCCAAGACCCCTGGGTTCAATCAGCAGCACCCAGTGGGTTCTCCTGGCTGGCCTCAGCACTAGGACCACCAGGAGAAGGTGGCTGTCCCTGCAGGAGCTCCCCCCATCTTGTGGAGGGTGTAAAGCTTTGGATGGCAGGGCTTTAAGATGTTCCTAATCCTGGGTCTGATACAACAGTGGGATTTTGGGGGTCAGCTCTGACCCTGATGGGGCCTGACATGGTCCCTCTCAGCTCCATGGGGGGGTCCAGGAAGGTGCTGCAGCTCTGGAGAGCAGGGGAGCCAGGCTGGGGGGACAGAGCCAAGAACAGCCCTTGGCTTCCAGGGATGGGGTGGGTTCTGAAATGGGGGAGCTGCAGGGATGGAGGCCAAGACACTGGTGGGTGGTGATCTGGGATGTGCCTGGTGTCCCTGTCTCTGGTGGGACAGGTTTGGGGGTGTCACACTGAACCCACACTCCCCTCAGGAGACCCCAGTGCCACAGGGCAGCCACTGGTGCTCAGCCCCAGCTCTGCCATCCATCTGGAAGCCAGTGTCCACTTCAGTCCCAGCTTCTCCATGAAGATCCATGTGGACCAGTGCTATGGGACCATCGTGGAGCAGCCAGGACGTTCCAGGAGGGTCTTTATGGTGGTGAACAGCCAGGGGTCAGTGCTGGTGGGGTGGGAAGTGGGGACCCCTTCTTCTACAGGCACCCTGTGGTCCCGCAGGGCCTCCTGATGGGAGGGGGTTGTCCAGGGCCTGGAGACAGCCAGGAAATGTCCCTGTGTCACTCCCCTGCCACAGATGCCTGCACGGGGAGAAGCTGGGAAGTGTGTCTGTCCAGCACTGGAGAGGGGAGTCTGCTCTCCAGCTCTCCATCCTGGCCCCCACGCTGGAGGGTGAGACTGAGGAGGAGGAGGTGAGGTCAGGGAGATGCCCTGGTGGTGGGGTGGAGGTCCCATGGAGGGGGATGACCTGGGGGTCCTAAAGCACTGTGTCTGCTGGGGTGGTCTTGGAGGAAGGTTGGGTGGGAAGAGGGTGAAGTCCCCGAGGAAGGACATGGTGGGATGGAGGTCCCACGGAGGGGGATGACCTGGGGGTCCCAAAGCACTGCCTTGCCAGGGGCATTGGGGTGGTCTCAGCCCCATAGGGTGGAGTGGGAGGAGAGCAGGGTCCCTGAGGAAGGAAGGACATAGTGGGATGGAGGTCCCATGGAGGGGGATGACCTGGGGGTCCCAAAGCACTGCCCCTCCTGCGGCATCCAGCTCCTTCCTGAGGCATCCAGCTCCCTGCTGGCATGGTCTCAGCCCCCCGGGATTGGAGGGGAGGAGAGCAGGGTCTCCAAGGAAGGACACAGCAGGGGGGTGTCCCGGCAGGTCTATGTGCACTGCTTGCTGACAGCGTGGGGACAAGGACACGCCATCAGGTCCTGCTTCTACAGCCACACCACGGCCAGGTACGCTGGGTGCTGGAGCACTCGTGGGTGTGTTGGGAGCAGAACCCACTGGTCATGGGGACCCACCTGGGGGGGAACCAGGTCACCCCACTGCAGGCTGGATGCCACCTCTTCTCTGATGGCAGCTGGTGGCATCACCACAGGTCCAAGCACCCTCACGGTGCAGATGAATTAGGGAGGTATTTGGAGTCACCTGGAGGACACCTTCTCTGGGGTGGCACCATGTGGGTCTTGTGCTGGAGTATGTGGACCCCTAGACCATCCCCCCAGCTCTGTCCTCTCCCCCAGCTGGCACAACGCAGAGGACCCTTCCCGGAGTGCCCAGTGCCACTGCTGTGACACCAGCTGTCCCCGTGGTGACACCCTCCCAGGACACCTGCCAGGTAGCGGGGGTGGGACACCGTGACTCCACGTTGTTCTGGGGTCTTGGGAGGAGCTCGTGGGCCTGGGATGGGCTGTATTTGCCATGTCCTCCCACAGCATTCCCAGGTGAGGGGACACTCCACCGGGAGACAGTTGGACCAGTGCTGGTGCAGAAGGAGAAGGTGCTGTGGTACGAAGGTGAGGGACACCCCAACCCTCTCCCATGTCCCCAAACCTCCCTCCCCAAGTGCTGGACCACCCAGTGACCCCCCCACTGGTGTGTTTTCTGCTGTCCCCAGGGCCATGCCACACCATGAAGAGGTTCCTGCTGGCCGGGCTGGCCCTGGTGGGCAGTGCCGTGGTGGTGGTCGCCGCGGTGGGGGGGCTGCTGGGGCTGGCCCTGACCACCTGGCGCCTGGGCACACGCCGGCAGGGACAGCGGCCACCGAGGCAGAGGTCTCCCTTCCAGGCTGAGCTGCAGAGCGTGGTGGGGGCCCTGGTCCTCAGGGAGACAGGGAAACGGGGCGAGGTGGGACCAGACCCCCTTTCTCCACAATAAACGTGGCTTTGTTTTCTCTACAGCTTCTCCTGGTGGTAGTGTGTGGATGCCACCATGGGATGGGGATGTGCCACTACACTGACAAGCCATATCTGCTCCAGGTTCCTCCGGGTACCTGGAGATGTGACTTCCAGGTGTGGTGGCACGGTCCCAGGCTGTGGTGCTGAAGCTGGGGGGATTTTGGGTCCCTGGATACCATGGACATGGTGGCAGCTCCTTAGGGTGACAGTCTGCAGGATGTCCCATGAGGCTGTGGAGAGATGGAGGGGCTACATGGTGGGGCCACCAGGACTGCTCTGGGCA